CCCGGGCTGGGCCGCGCTCCCGGAATCCCCGGTAAGGACTCCCCGGGACCCTTCCCCGCATTCCGAAAGCCTGCCCCAAAAATCCCCCCCAAATTCCTGCGACATTCCCAAAAAGTTCCTGGATCTTCCGCAAAAATCCCCGGGAAAATTCCTTTCCTTTGTCTCTTCCCGGAACTCCCGGGATTTTTTTCCCCCGTTTTGGGATCCCTTTCCCAGGATCCCGTCCCAAATTCCCAGATCCTTCCCAAAATTCCTGGATTTCTTCCCTAAAATCTTCGGGACCCTTTCCCGAAATTCCCGGATCCCCTTCCCAAAATTGCCGGGCCTCTCCTTTCCCCACTCCCGGAACTCTCGGGCTCTTCCCGCCCTCCTGGGAGGAGTTTGGGGGATCCCAAATCCCTTTGTAATTCCTGGGACTTTATTCCCAAAATTCCTTCCCAAAATTCTCGAATCCCTTCTCTAAAATCCCCGTGACCACTCCCCAAAATTCCTGGGTCCCTCGTTTTCCTCATTCCCGGAATTCCCGGAATTCCTGGGATGTTTTCCCCCCTCCTGGAACGACTTTTGGGGGATCCCAAACCCCCTTGGCATTTCCGGGACCCCTCCCAAAATTCCCAAATCCTTCCCATAATTCCCTCGGGATCCTTCCCCTAAAATCCCCGGGACCCCTCCCCAAATTTCCCCGGTCCCTCCTTTTTGTCATTCCGGGAATTTCCGGGATGATTTTTTGGGCGATCCCGAATCTCTTTTTCCCACCTTCCAACCCCAAACCCATCCGGGATTTTCGGGATCTTCCCGGCTCCATTTTCCAATGGAATTCCCGGGAATCTCTTCCCAAAATCCTCTCCCGAAATCACGATTGTTTTGGGAATTCCGAACCTCAGGGGGCGGGGCCATCCTGGAATTTTCCAGCTGGGATTTGAGGAGTTTTCCCAATTTTTTTTCCCGGGTTTTTTCCCGCTTTTCCTAGCCGGGCCTTCGGGCGGGGCTGGTGCATTCCCAAAAATCCAACCCCGCCCCAAATCCCAGGGAATTTGGGAATTTTGTGTCTCAAATCCCAACGATCCCAGTTTTTTATGGATTTAGGGAACTCTGGGATTTTTCCCGGTATTCCAGACTGCTTTTCCCAATTTTCCAGAGGGAAACTCCTCATTCTCAGCCTTTTAAGGAGCTGTTTGGGATTGCTGGGAATTCCCAAATTCCCAGGGTTTTTTTGGGATCTCCACTCCTGGAATTTTTGGGATTCCCCATTCCAGGATTTTTGGAGTTCCCTCCCCATCCTTCCCAGCTTTTCCCAAAAAATCCTTTGGAATGATGGAAAAAACCTTGGAAAAATGGGAAAACTTGCCTTGCGAATTCTGGGATGGGGTTGGGATTTTGGGATTCCCCATCCCAGGAGTTTTGCAATTTCCAAAATTCCCATTCCCAGTGAATTCCCCCAAAAAGTCCCCCTGGGCTTGGGCTGGAAAACTCCTTGGGAATGAAAATTTGGGAATTTGGGGAATTTTCCAATTCAGGGCAGACTTTTCCCAGCAGGAGCTGAGCATGAGGCGTCCCACAGAATTCCCAGAATTTCCCAGCCCTGAAAACTCCCCCGGATCCCTGGAAGATTCTGGAGGGGGCCCCAAATCTGCCTGGAATCCAGAGGTGAGTCCTGGAATTTTTGGAAAATCCCCCCCCCAAAAATCCGGATCCAGTGTCTCTTTTCCTTCCCTTTCTCATTCCCGATCCCAGCAGAGAAATCTGGGAACGGTGAGATTTTTCCCAGATTTTTCCAGGATTTATCCCAAATTGATCCTGGATTTATCCTGGATTTCTTCCCCATTTATCCCAGATTCTTTCTGGATTTATCCCAAATTTTTACCGGATTTTTACTGGATTTCTTCCCAATTTATCTTGAGCTATCCATTTGCCCAAAATGCTAATTTTTAGCCCCGATTTTAAACCGGGTTTAACCCTTAGGAGGCCGGGCCGGTGCTGAGGCTGCGCCTGCCCCGAGACCCCCCCGGGGAGCCCCGGCCCAAACAGAAGGTGCGGAAAAAGCGGGAATGGGAGGGGGGAGATTTCGGAATTTCAGGGAAAAATGAGAATTTTGGGGGGAAATCTGAGAGTTTGGGGGAAAATTTGGGTATTTGAGGGGGGAATTTTGGGGAGGAAAAATGTGAGTTTTGGGATCATTCTGGGAATTTTTTTGGGAATTGTGGTGAAAATTCAGGATTGGGGGGAGGAATGGGAAATCTGGGATTTTTATGGGAATTTTGAGGGGAAATTCTGGGAATTTTGGGAAAAACTGTGGGTTTTGGGAGGAAAATGGGAATTTTTTTGGGTAAAAGGGAAATTTTGGGGGGAATTCTGGGAGGAAATTCAGGACTTTGGGGGGAGAAAGTGAGATTTGGGATTTTTCTGGGAATTTGGGGGGGAAATCTGGAAATTTTGGGGGAAGACTGGGATCTTGGGGGGAAATTTGGGAGTTTGGAGGGTAAAACCAGGAATTTGGGAGAGGGAAAATGGGAATTTTGGGATAATTCTGGGATTTTGGGAATGAAAATTCAGGATTTTGGGGGAAGTCTTGGCTTTTGTGGTAAAATCCAGGATTTTTGGGATCACTTTGGGAGAGAGAATGGGATCATGGTTTTCCCAGATTTATCCACAGCAGGAAACAGCTGAAAATCCTGGGTTTTTCCATGAAAATCCTGGAATCCAAATCTGGGATTTTCAGGACAATAACCCTAACCCTGGCCACCACCCTGAGGGTGGCAGATCCCAATTCTGGGCATTTCCTGGGAATTTTTTCCCAAAATCACTGTGTTTTCCTCCATAGCCGGTGGGCAGAGCCTTTGCCATGGTGGCCAAGAGATCCGACGGGAATTCCTTGGCCTCGGAGTGTGTCAAATCCAAGGACGGCGACGAGGAGATCATTAAGGTGCCCCAAATCCTGGGATTTCCGTGTGGAATTTTAGGGATAAAACGTGGATTTTTTTGGGATTTAGTGTATTTGAGGGACTCCAGGTGGAATTTAGGGAATTCCTTGTGGATTTCAGGGAATTCCACTCCTTGGGAACAACACAGGTGGGGAAACCCCTCCCAAAACAAATCCTGGAAAATTAAAATTTAACAGGAAAATTCCGGGACAAAAAATTCTGGGAAATTTTGGGAAGCCTTGCTCAACCCCTCTGGATCCGTTGGAATTCCCGGAGGGATTTGGGACGTTCCCAATCCCGTTTCATTCCTGTTCCTATTCCAGGTTTACCTCAAGGCTCGCGCCGACCACGAGGAGCCGGTGACACAACTCAAGAGCGAAGTCCGGCACATCCAGGAGGTGAGATTCCCAAAATTCCACAAAATTCCCTGAAAATTCTGCAAAATTCCTACAAATTCCTGTAAAATCCCCTGATTTACTCACAAAAGTCCCTGAGTTTATGTGAAATTCCCAAAAAATCCTCCCAAAATTCTCCAAATCTCGGCTCAGATTTCCCCCAAAACTCCCAAACAATTCTTCTCAAAATTTCCCAAAATTTACCCCAAAATTTCCACAGATTTGCCCAAAATCACTCAAAATTCCACAAAAATGTCTCCGAATTCCCCCGAAATTCCCACAAAATTCCCCCAAATTTTCCCTGAATTATCTCAAAATTCCCAAAAAGTTCCCCAGATTTCCAAATTTTATTTTCATTTATTTTCCTTTCATTGGATCTTTCCCCATTTTTACTTGGATTTTTTAACCTTTTTTCCCCCCTCCCAATTCCCTGGAATTCCCACATCCCAAAAAACCCCCAACTTTTCCCTTTTTTTTCCCAGGCTGGGAGTGCTCTCAAAAAACTCCGTGAAGATTTGAGCACCAAACTCCAGACCCGGACGGAATTTCTGGAATTCCGGGAATTCCAGGAGAGCTCAGAGGTAAAAAATTAGGGTACTACAAAACAAACAAAAAAAAAAAAGGTGGAATTTTCCCCTGGAAAAACCATTCCAGAGGGGTTTTGGGTGGAAAAAAGGGGATAATCCTATTTTTTCCGGCGGGAAAAGGGAAAATTCCCATTTTTTTCAGGGAAAAAGGGAGGAATTCCCTTTTTTGGGGTGTTGAAAGGGAAAATTTCCAATTTTTGATAGGGAAAACAGGAAAATACCATTTTTGGGTGAAAAATGTGAAATTTGGAATTTTCTGGAGGGATTTCACTGCTCGCAGGGATGATAATGGAATTTTGTAGTTGCTATTTTGCCAAAATTCCCAAATTTTGCCCCAAATTGGGAAGTAGGAGCAGGTCCTGGAAATAAAAAAAAGGGGGAAAAATGGGGATAAATACATAGAAATTTAGGAATAAATGGATTTAAATTGGGAATACATCCATTGAAATTTGGGAAAAGAGAATTGGGGAATTAGAAAAATTTGGGATAAATCCCGATTTTCCCCCTTTTTTCCCTGGATTCCAGGTGGTGCTGGAGAAGCGGAACCAGAGCTGCTCCTGCTGGGAAAATTCCCAGGATAATCCGGTAAGGAACAGAAAAAAATTCTGGAATTTTCCAGGACAGGATTTGGGTTAGGGTGAAAATGTTTAAGAAACCTATTTTCCACCCAAAAATGGGGAATAGTTGGGGTTAATTTGGGAATATTTGGTGTTTTCCACCAAATTTTAACTCCTGAAATTCCAAGTTTTAATGGGAATTTGGGAGGTTCGGACTTTATCTAAAAATCCCAAATTTTGTGAATTTTTGAGCTCTTGGAAAATTAAAAATTCGGGATTCTTGACCTGTTGGAAAACTCAAAATTGTGGGAATTTTTGACATCTTAGAAACACCAAATTTGGGGAATTTTGAAGCTCTTGAAAAACACAAAATTTGGGAGTTTTGGGATGCATGGGGGACACTGGGACCTTCTGGGGCCGTTCCCGCAGGAGGACCCCGAAGCCCCGCGGCTCCTGTGGAGGCTCCAGGAGGCGGAAAAGAGGCACCAGCTGGAGCGGAGCGGCCTCGAGGTGAGCCTGGAATTCCCAAAAACACGGAATTTCACCCAAATTCAGCAATCTTGGAGGAGAATTTTGCCCAAACTCTGGAATTTTAGGGGCAATTCTGTCCAGATTCTGGAATCTTAGAGGAGATGCTGGGGTTTTTGAGGAACTATTCCCCTTGGGTTTTTTTGAGGGATCTCCAGGAAAATCCTCCTGCCGAGGAAAGTCCTGGAATGTGTCCTGGGATCCCGGGAGAGCCGGAATTCCTGGAATTCCTGGATTTCCCATTGCAGAGGGCGCTGCTGCGGTGCCAGGAGGACGTGGAGCGGGTGGATTCTGCCCGCAGCCGAGCGGAGACAGAGGTGGAGCAGCTCCAGAGGCTCCTGGCCGGCATGGAAAAGGTGATTTGGGATCGGGATTGGTGGGTTTGGGACCAGGAACCAGCCCTGGGATAAGTGGATTTGGGATTGGGATGAGTTGGAGGCCATTCCCGATATCCCACCCCATTCCTGGTTTTCCGCTACCCCATTATTCTGTATCCCATTATCCCAATATCCCATTATCCCATTATTATCCCGTATCCCGCTCCCCAATCCGCAGGATCACCGGGATCTGCTGGCACGGATGGAGTCTGGACAGGCAGAGCTGGAGCGGCTCCGGAAGGCGGAAGGGGAGAGAGCGGCGCAGCAGGAGCGGTGGGAATCCGAGAATGGGAATTCTGGGAGTCTGGGAATCTGGGAATGAGAGTTCCGGGAATGGGGGAATCCGGGAATGGGAATTTCCCAGGAATGCCCAGTTCCTGATGTCCCGACTTGTTCCCGATATTTGAGGGTCTTTTCGGATGGGCAGTCCCAGTTTTTTGCAGGGCTGGGCATTCCCACATTTTTTGGGACAGGCATTCCCAGGGTCTTTTTGGGGTGAGCATTCCTGTTTTTTTTTGTGGTGGGCTTTTCCTTTTTTTTCCTTTGAGTGGGAATTCCAGAATTTTATGGCTGTGAACATTCCCAGTTTATTTTAGGTGAACATTCCCTTTTTTTTTTTTTGGATGAGCATTCCCAGGTTTTTCTGCTGTGAGCAATCTCAGTTTTTTTAGCCGAACACCCCCAATTTTTTTGGATGTGACCATTCCCAGGCTGTTTTTGGAGGAGGAATTCTGGGTTTCTTTTGATGTGAGCATTCCCAGTCTTTTTGGAGACTGTTCCTGGAGATTTTTCCCGGTATTTTCTCAGCTCATCCCAGCTGGAGAAGGAGGTGGCAGGGCTCCGGGAGAAAATCCATCACCTGGATGATATGCTCAAGAGCCAGCAGCGCAAAGTCCGCCAGATGATTGAGCAGGTGATGGGAAAACTGGGAAAAACCTTGGAAAATCCAGGGAAAAAATGAGCAAAACTCTGGGGAAAAAAATGGGGAAAAATTCCCAGAAAAAATGGGGAAAAGGGGGGGAAAAACCAGGGGAAAACCAGAGGAAAACCCAGGAAAATTTTAGGAAAACTTAGGAAAAACCCTGGGAAATAACCTGTGAAAAATCTTGGGAAAAATCTAGGAAAAAAAGGCGAAAAACCTAGGAAAAAACATGAAAAAAATCTGGGAAAAACTGGGGGAAAATCTGGGAAAAACTGGGAAAAAACTAGGAAAAACCAGGGAAAAATCTAGGCAAAATCCATAAAAAAATCTGGGGAAAATCCAAGAAAAACTAGGAAAACAGTCTTGGGAAAAAACAGGGAAAAATTAGAAAAAAGCAGGAAAAACCCAGGAAAAACCCGGAAATTGCCAATCCCTTGGAAATGTCCGGGTTGCAGCTGCAGAATTCCAAGAGCGTGATCCAGGCCAAGGACGCAGCGATCCAGGAGCTGAAGGAAAGAGTTTCCTACCTGGAAGCAGAGGTGGGGCCCGGAGTTCTGTGGACTGGATCCGAGCTTGGGTTGGGAATGTTTGGGTCCGGGTTGGGCTCCTTGTGGGGGTGGTTGGGGAACTGGGTATGGGGGTAAAGCAGGAAAAAGGTGGGAAAAAGCAGGAAAGAGGGAGGAGAAGGGGGGAAAAGGGTGGGAGGGAATCAAGACCTAGAAAGTCCCACAAGACCAAAAAAAAAAAGCTGGAAAAAGCCCCAAATTCCCAACCTGAGCCTGACCATTTCTGCCAGGATTTGGGAAATACCTGGGAAGTTCCCAATCCGACAGTGAGATTGAGGATTTTGAGATGGAAAATTCCCCTGATCCTCATTTTTCCTGGGACAGACCTTCCCAAATAACTCAGGAACTCCCCAGTCACATTCCTACGCTCCAAATTACCCCAAATCCCAGAAATTCCCATTCTGAGCACAGAGGGACCATCCCAAGGCAGCTCTCCATGGTTGGAAAATCCTTTCCAGATCCCAAATCCTGGGTTTTTTTCCCCAGAATCTGGAGATGCATGACCGGATTGAGCACCTGATCGAGAAACAAGTGAGCCGGGGCGGGAGCAGTGCCCGCGCACGCTCCAAGTCGGAATACGTCAGCAGGTGCGGCGGGAATTCAGGGTCAGGAATTCTGGGATCTGGGTTGGGAATGGTGGGATTCAGGTTGGGAACTCCAGGACCTCTTCAGGATTTGGGGATTCTCTTTGCATTAGGCAATGAACTTTTGGATTTGGGGCTGCAGTTTTGGAAGTGCTGTCTGGATTTTGGAGATTGTTTTTGGGATTTTGGGATGAACTGTTGGATTTTAGGATTCTCTTCTGGATTTAGGGACTAACTTTTGGAATTTTGGGATGCTCTTCCAGATTCGGGGATAATTGAAATCTCCCATAATTTTTCCACATCTGCAGCAGATCCCAAATCCCTCCCACAGGAATTTTTAGGAATTCAGATCTCCCCGAAATCCTTTTCCCTATTTCTTCCTACTGAAAATTCCTTTTATTTTTTTTCCCCTTTTCCCAGTAAACGCCTCCCAGGCCCAAAGCCACTGCCCCTGATCCGAGTGGTGGAAACCTGAATTTTGGGTCTGGGCCCAACCGGATCCTTCCCCTTCGGAATGACCGGAATTTCCAGCTGGAGTCAGAGCCCTTCCTGAGGGAAGAGGTTTGGGATCGCCCCGGGCACGATTCCAGGTCGGAATCGGTAATTTTCCCCCTTTTCCCAGCGATTTTCCGGCTCTCGCCATTCCCGTGTGGAGTCCAGAGGTTTTTCCTAACTGGATTTGAGATTTCACCTTTTTTTTGGGAATTTCCAAATCAAAATCTTGGATTCTGCTTTTTTCCTGAAGAAAGATTCCAAAAAGCTGGGAGCCACCACACTGTCAACCTCCAACACCACCCTTGGACTTGGAAAATGCTCTCCCAACCCTAAAAATTCCGTGTCTTTCTGCTGAATCCTGTGTTTTTCCCACGTAATTTCCTGCTTTTCCCGCAGAATTACATGCTTTCCCCCCCAAATGATTATTGTTGAAATTCCCATGATTTTGGGATTTTATTCCCTGTATTTATTTCTGTAAATTATCAGAGTCTCCGGGTGAGGTGGGGGATGGGCACAGGCTGGAATTCTTGGGAATTTTGGCCCAGGACTGCCCCAATCCCACGTTTGACCCCGAAGGCTCCAACCAGGATCCCTCGGGATTCCCTTGGAGTTTTTTAATTCCTGGTTTTCGTATTAAAGATAAAAAATTCTGTCTGCTTTAAATCCCAGAAGTTGTGGTTGGTTGGAAAAGATTGGGAATTTTGGGGGGAAGGTGGGGGCTTTTTTCTGGGTTTTTTGGCTTTTTTGGTTTTCCCAGGTCCTGATTCCATGGGAATGGTGAAACTTTGGGATTGGGATTTTCCCTGTTTTCAAAACCAGGGGTGGGCTCAGGTTGGGAATTTGGGGATTTTTCCAGGGTTTTTCTTTTTGGCTTTTGGGGTTTTTGCGGGTCCTGATTCCATAGGAATGGGGTTACTTTGGGATTGCGATTAGGGTTTTCTGGGTTCCCAAAACCTGGGGGACTCAGGGTGGGATTTGAGGGGTCTCGGATTCACCTCCAGATCCCAAGAATTCCTCTTCAAAAGGTCTGGAGCCCCAGGATCCATGGATTTAAGGGGAGTGGGGCCTGGGGCCACCCGAGACCTTCAGGAATGACCAAGAGGGGACCCCCAGCTGTGTCCTAAGTTAGGGATGGGCCAAGTCTTGTGTCTTTGTCTCACAGAAAGGTGGTTCACGTGTCCTTTAATATCATATGTGCAAATATTTCCAATCTGCATTCTGCCTTATCAGAAAGCTAATTAATGATTTTATTATACTATATTACATCTAAACTGAATCTGCCAAGTACTCAACCCTGCACACACCGCACACAACTCGTGACTGTCACCCAACAGTCCTGACACACGCACACACTCGGCCCTGACAGGCCAAGGAAACCAAACACCATCACTTTGGTAAACAATCTCCATGTTGCATTCTACTTTGGCACAAACACAGGCACAGCAAATGAGACAAGAATTGTTTTTCCTTCCTCTGAGGTTCAGAGAAGGTGAATCCCAGAAATATTCTTGGGAAGAATTCTGCCTTGCTTTTCTCTGTGAGGAGAAATGTGGTGACAGGTGCACCCTTGCCTCCAGGGCAAAGAATCACAAAACCGTTTGGGTGGGAAGGGTCCTTGAAGGCAAGAGGGGGCTCATCTGCTTCAGAGCTGCTTGCTTTTCTCACACCTTTCACAAGCAAAGCCTGAAGCAAACCCTCCCAAGTTGCCCAATCGACCACGGGACCCCTCAGCACTCGGCAACGGTTGCCGGCAAAACCTCAAACTTACTCACACAGGGACAAGGCCGTGCACTCAGTTGTAACCCAGATTCTCTTTTTCCGACAGTAGCCTCAAACTCCCTTTGTTCTCTCTGCAGGCCTTTTTGCAAGCACACCAATTAACAGACTACACAAGTTTGACCAGCAGACTTCAGCTAAATCCAAAATTGGTTTCTACCCCAAGTAAAATTTCCACCCCCCTCTCTCACCTGTGATGTTTGGAATTTTAGGAGGTGGCAGCCCACTCGAGACCAAAGGTCCTGAGCAGGTTGCAGGCCCAGAGACACAAATGCCATCCCTTTTCCATGGGAAACAAAACTCACCACCCCAGTTTCCTTATATCAGTTTGATGAAGGTCACTCAGAGTTCTCGTTGGCTGCAGACTTGGTCTTGGAGTTATGGAGTTATGTTTTCTCTTAACACCTCCTCACCTCACCCCCCTGCGGCTGTGTCCCCTTCTACGCCCCTAACCCTACTCTATTTTCCAGCCCGCTCTTGCTCCATCCCTCACTCTGCCCTTAACCCGTCCCATCACACTTCCCGCTCCATCCATTACTTCACCCACCGCCCACCTGTGAGTCCCCTCCAGCAGCACGCAGGAGCCTGAACCCTTGGAGGACAGCGCAACTCTTGCGGCAGGACAACACCCAAGTAGGACAGGCAGGGACAACGTCTGTGGGCTGCAGGGTGTCACAAGGGGCTGCGGGCTGAGGGGAGGGGGCTGGAGGGTGACACAGAACATGGGGGGAGCTGAGAGCAGAAGGGGGCTTTAGGAGCAACTGGGGAGCTCCAGGGTGGCACAGAGATGCTGAGAGCGGGGAACTTGAGGGTGACAAGAAGAGGGTGAGGGGGAGCAGATGCCTTGAGGGGCAAAGTGGGGGCTGCTTGAGGGTGACAGGTGAACCAGCCCTCACACCACCCTTAACCTTAGCCTAAAAACCACCCCTAACCAGGTGGAGAGTGCACGGTGGAGGCCAGGGGGCCAAGGGACAATGTCAGAGGTCTTGGGGTGACACACAGACATTGTGGGCTGAGGGGCAAGGAGGGGGAGGCTTGAGAGATGGAGAGCTCACACTGAGGGTTAGGGGTACAAAGAACACAGGGTACCAGGTCGGGTTAGGGTACAGGTGCAGCAGCCCTCAACCCAACGCCACGGTCACCCTAAACAGCACCCCTAGGATCCCAGTGTTCCCCAACAGCAGCACAAGGCAGTTACCCCAATGCTGGGGCAGCTCCAGAACTCTCCCAGCAGCTGCAGGCGGCAACCCTAATAAAAAGGTAGATAATAATAATAATAATAATAAAAATAAGGGCCACAGCGAGCGTGTAAATGGAAAGAATGTGTGAGTGTGTGTGAGAGCACATGGCTGTGTCTGTCTGTGTCTGCTCGTCTCTGCATGTGTGAGCACATGCTGACTGGATTTAACCTTGTGTATATGACTTTTGCTTTTCAGGTTTTGCAACTCATTGTATAATTTAGAATAAAAAATCCCCAGCTGCCTTCCCCCCCCACCCCGGCTGTTTTTTTTTTCTTGGTCCTGGTCGGGTAAAAACCCAGAAAAATACTCCAAGATAGGCTAGAAAAGACCCAAAAAAACCCAGTAAAAAAAACCCAAGATGGGCAAGAAAAACCCAGGAAAAAACCCTGAAAAAACCCCAAGATGGACAAAAAAAAAAAACCCACAAAAACCGAGGGAAAAAAACTCAAGATGGGCAAGAAAAAATCAAGAAAAAAATCAGAACAATCCCAGGAAAAAACCTCTAGGTGGGCAAGAGCAAACCCAGAAAAAAAAAAAAAACTAAAAAAACCCAAGATGGGCAAGAAAAAAACCAGAAAAAAATCCTAGAAAAAACCCCAAGATGGGCAAGAAAAACCCAGAAAAAACCAAGGAAAAACCCCCAAGATGGGCTAGAAAAACCCAGAAAAAAACCCCAAGAGGGGCAAGGAAAACCCAACAAAAAACGCAGGAAAATCACAGAAAAAAACCCCAAGATGGGCAAGAAAAATCGAGGAAAAAACCCCGCGATGGACCAGGAAAAAACCAGAAAAAACCAAGGAAAAAAAAAACTAAAAAAAAGGAAAACCGGAAAAAACCCCAAGATAGGCAAGAAAAATCCAGGAAAACACCCAGAAAAAAACCCCCAAGAAGGGCAAGAAAAAATCCCAGAAAAAAACCCCCAAGGTGGGCAAGAAAAAATCAACAAAAAACCCAGAAAAATCACAGAAAAAAACTCCAAGACGGGCAAGAAAAAGAACAGAACACTCCCACAGAAGACCCAGGAAAAAAAACCAACATGAGCAAGAAAAAACCCAGAAAAAACACCTAAGACTGGCAAGAAAAAACCAGGGAAAACACCAAGATGGGTAGGAAAAACCTATTGTAAAAGGTGCCGTAAAGCGCGACTGTCGTAAAAGGTGCCGTAAAGCGCGACTGTCGTAAAATCGGCCGTAAAGCGCGACTGTCGTAAAA